CAGATCATAAATAGCGGAGATCACTTCTCAGCCATTAGCGGCTGCTTAGCGGTATATTTTTATATGGTTGTTACGGTTATATTCTCATTTTCTCGGTCTCAATTGATAGAATGAAAGATATATTACAGAAATAGATAAGATTTTGATTGCTTTCATGATGAAAAGTACCTTGAAATTGCGCTCACAGTAGCGAAAATGTTCTATTCTTTAGTGAAGCTCAAGAGTAAACAAATGACGTCATTGTCCAATACCTGTCCGCCTGCCAGTTCAAATTCCAGTACGGAGTCAAGAATGGATTGACATTATTTATACAACTATTAAAATAATGCAGTGGTCTGCATTAACAGTAAATCTTCTATTTTTTTGTGAATAAAAATTCCAAATGGTAAGCAAGAGTAATATAAGAGGGGCCTGTAGCCATGACTAATAAAACAGAGAAAATTTACTTTAGTGCCAGGAATGTCTGCATTGTTTATTCTGGATCCTATTTTGAAATTGGCATCTGTTGAAATTTGTGTGAAATCGGCCAAATTGCCAATTTCTGACCACTTTTATTGGGTAGTTGAAGTAAGTGAATGGGCGGTTTCTTGTACTCAGTTGACAGACTAGAAGTAAATAAGTTTATTCAGGCATACAAAAATACAGTTACATAGATTATCATACATAGCAGTGTATGTATAGAGAACCTGGGATAACCCAGAAAAGTCAGTCAAAGTGACTTATTTCCAGTACCTGGCTTCGGCTTGCCATATATGATTTTTGGTAAATAATTTTTTTTCTCGGTTGTTTGTTGGGCTATCTCATTGAAACTTGGGCAATGTATGATGGAAAGATGCTTCTTAACATACAACAAAAATAAAAAAGACGGACGATAAATAAGGGAGTTCACTTCTCAGCCATTAGCCGCCTCTTTGCAGTATATTTTCGTATGGTTTTATGGTTGTATTCTCATTTTTTGGACTCATTTGATAAAATGGAAGAATTATTACAGAAATAGACATGATTTTTATTGCTTTCATAACGAAAAGTACCTTGAAATTGAGCTCAAAGTAGCGGAAATGTTCAATTTTTGCCGATGTTCAATGAACTGTGTAAGTCAAGTTGGTTAATTTTATTAAGTGTATTCTAACCTAACCACTCTGTAATTCAGCAAACTCAGTAATCCGGCACACTACAGGTCCCAATGATGCCAGATTTGTGATGGAGAACCTGTACCTCTTCTTAAAACTATGTATGGTTCCTGCCTCCACTACTTCACTTGCTAGGCTGTTCCACTTCCTGACGACTCTATGACTGAAGAAATACTACTTCCTAACGTCCCTGTGACTCGTCTGAGTCTTCAGCTTCCAGTTGTGACCCCTTGTTTCTGTGTCCCCTCTCTGGAACATCCTATCTCTGTCCACGTTGTCTATTCCCCACAGTATCTTGTATGTCGTTATCATGTCTCCCCTGACCCTTCTGTCCTCCAGTGTCGTCAGTCCGATTTCCCTCAACCTTTCTCGTACGACATTTCCCCCGAGCTCTGGGACTAGCCTTGTTGCAAACCTTTGTACTTTCTCTAACTTCTTGACGTGCTTGACCAGGTGTGGGTTCCAGATTTGTGCTGCATACTCCAGTATGGACCTAACATACACAGTGTACAATGTCTTGAACGATTCCTTGTTAAAGGGATCGGAACGCTGTTCTCAGGTTTGCCACCGCCCGTATGCTGCAGCAGTTTATTTGGTTGATGTGTGCCTTCCGGTGACATGCTCAGTGTTATGGTCACCCCAAGGGCTTTCTCCCTGAGTGAGGTCCTGTAGTCTTTGTCCACCAGCCTACACTCTGTCCTGCGGTCTTTTTTGGGCCCCCCCCCAATCTTCATGACTTTGCATTTGGCAGGGTTGAATTCGAGAAGCCAGTTTCTGGACCACATGTCCAGCCTGTCCAGGTCTCTTTGCAGTCCTGCCTCATCCTCATCCGATTTAATTCTTCTCATCAACTTCACATCATCTGCGAAAAGGGACACTTCAGAGTCTATTCCTTCCATCACGTCGTTCGCATATGTCAAAAAAAGCACTGGTCCTAGAACTGACCCCTGTGGGACCCCGCTCGTCACAGGCGCCCACTGTGATACCTCTTTACATACCATGACTCGTTGCTGCCTCCCTGTCAGGTATTCCCTGATCCATTGCAGTGCCCTCCCTGTTATATGTGCCTGATCCTCCAGCTTCTGCACTAATCTCTTGTGGGGAACTGTGTCAAAGGCCTTCCTGCAGTCTAGGAAAACACAATCAACCCACCCCTCTCTCTCGTGTCTTACTTCTGTTACCTTGTCATATAACTCCAGGAGGTTTGTGACACAGGATTTGCCTTCCATGAACCCATGCTGATTTTCATTTATAATCCTGTTCCGTTCCAGGTGTTCCACCACTCTCCTCCTGATAATCTTCTCCATGACTTTGCACACAATACATGTCAGAGACACAGGTCTGTAGTTTAGTGCCTCATTTCTGTTTCCTTTCTTAAATACGGGGACTACATTTGCTGTCTTCCATTTCTCAGGTAGTTGCCCAGTTTCAAGGGATGTGTTGAAGATTGTGGTTAAGGGCACGTACAGCATCTCTGCTCCTTCTCTAAGGACCCATGGGGAGATGTTGTCCAGTCCCATCGCCTTTGAGGTATCAAGGTCACTTAGCAGCTTCTGCACCTCCTCCTCCTCGGTTGTTCCTATGTCATCCAACACTTGTTGGTATATTCCCTCTTGATGTTCCCTTCTGTGCTGTCTTCCCACAGCCCTTCCTGTCTCTACTGTAAAAACTTCCTTAAATCTCCTGTTTAGCTCCTCACATACCTCCTGATCATTTCTTGTGAGTTCTCCACCTTCTGTCCTGAATCTGATCACCTGGTCTTTGACTGCTGTCTTCCTCCTGATGTGGCTATACAACAATTTCGGGTCAGTCTTGATTTTCGATGCTATGTCATTTTCATACTGTCGCTGGGCCTCCCTCCTTACCTGTGCATACTCGTTCCTGGCTCTGCGCCTGATCTCCCTATTTTCGTGTGTTCTCTGCCTTCTGTACTTTTTCCATTCTCTATTGCACTTTGTTTTTGCCTCCTTACACCATCGGGTAAACCAGGGGCTCATTCTGGTCTTCCCATTGTTTCTGTTGCCCTTGGGAATAAACCTTTCCTCTGCCTCCTTGTATTTTGTTGTTACATATCCCATCATTTCGTTTACTGTGTGTGTGTGTGGGGAGGGGGGGAGGGGGGGGAGAAAAAACTGTTTTGAGTCAGGGTAGCAGCTGTCAAGATGACATATTGTCTCATTACCCACTACCCCTACTGCCTGTCAAAACAATGGGGTCAGATGCTCCCTTCCCCTCCATCCTATCTAATTATCTTTCTCCCTCATTCTTCATTCTTCTGATATCCTGGGCTATTATCTTCATTCAGCAAGCTTGTGTTGTGTATGAATGTGTTGCTTAGCAGCTGTTAAAATGACATATTGTCTCATTACTCACTCCCCCTACTGCCTGTCAAAACAATGGGGTCAGATGCTCGCTTCCCTTCCATCCCATCTAATTATCTTTCTTCCTCATTCTCTCTCTCTCTCTCCTTCATTCTTCTGGTATCCTGGGCATTGCTTTTGGTCACAAACTCCTTAAAACCATGAAATTGATCTTCACTGATACTTCCATCTGTGTTAGAGCATCACTTGGGAAGAGTAGATTCCCAGAATTGCTGGGAAGTCACATATTTCTTACTGCTAGGCATGCTGAACAAGGACTACTGAAATGGCATTCCCACAATACACCTCTGGCTCCCCAATTTTTTTTTTTACGGAGACCCATTCTCTCACATGTGGGCCTACCAGCTTTCTCCTGCTTGATTTGAAGCCGCTAGAATTTATGCGTATTAATATGTCAAACATGGCAGCTCGTAAGACGTATATATAAGACTGAAACAGTCAAAGGGTTAAGGACATTTGTACAATGTGGACAAAGATGCAAGCCTTTATGGATGAACATCACCCTGACACAGCTGTTGCAAGCCGTGCTGGTGAATTTTACAATGACAATGTTGTGTCCCATTTTAGGAAAATCTTAAAGGAACACCAGAAACAGAGCTCTATGGACAGATTTTTGGTGCGACAGAGGTCCAATAACTGTCAAGTTGTTCCCAATGGCATTAAAAAACAAAGAAGGGAAGTAACCCCAGAAAAGGACTTGCTACCTAAAGTCCTTATGGAAGGGGATTCCCCTTCCAAACAATAATACACTTCCAAATCTCCCCTCCTCCCATCTCATCACTCATCAATAAATCTTCAATGAAGGTAAATGTCATTTATTATTCACCTATTTATTCTTCATGTCTTATTGTTTTCTGTGTAGGAAAATGTATATTTCATGTGAAAAAAATTTTTTTTAATACTTTCGGGTGTCTGGGACGGATTAATTGGATTTCCATTATTTCTTATGGGAAAATTAAATCGGATAACGATAAAATTGGTCAAGGACAAGCTCTCTGGAACGGATTAAAATCGTTAACTGAGGGTCCACTGTAATTATTATATTTATAGGAAAAAGGTGAACCTATAAGGGGTAATACACTGTCTGGAGAATGGTAGAGGGAGGAGTAATCAGAGTTGATCAGAGGATGGGAAACAGCTATAATTCCTTGGATCAAGAGCCCTTCACTGGCATCAAGGTATCCCCTTTCCTCTTTTCTCTGAAGGGAAATGAACAAACAGCTGCATCAGGACCATAAAACACTGTGCAATAGTTCTAAGAAGATGATGATAGGTCAATGAGTATGGGTAACTGCCAGAAATTTTCATAGAGAAGAGCAAATGAGCAGGGTGTAAACGGGTGGATGGACAACCATGAGCTATCTACAGCCAACTACTAATGAAATCAATGAACACAGTTAATTGACGTAAGTTATATCAATACATGAATGTTAACAATGTAAATGCAATTAATAAATACTACGAAAATTTGGCTGGATGCCACATTCACCTCATAGCATTGTTTTCTGTCATTCCGGGCATTCAGGTATGCTTTTGCCAGTTGTAGCCAGAGTTCTTCAATAGGCTGATGATCTCCATTACCAAGATGGGCAACCAATACTTGTGGATACAGCTGTAGTAGTGTGCGTGATTCGTCATCATTCCAAGCCAACTGTGAATTCACTAAAATATTTTGAATTAAATTTCAATTATATATTATTTATTTTTTAAAATTTTCATTATATTGAAGTACTGTATTGCATACCAGTTGAACTCACCCAAACAGCAGTAACTTACAAGATACACTACATTGCACAACTTTTTTTTTAAAGTTGTACTTAGTAAAGCATATCTTTCAATACAATGCAAGCTGTACCTTAAAGGCTTCCTTAATCTTACCTTTATAATCTTTTGGCCACCTTTCCATGTATCTAATAATTAACCCCTTGACTGTCGCAACCCCCAATCCTGAGGTGGCTCCTGGTGTCGTAAAATTAAAAAAAAAAAAAAAAAAATAAAATTATTTTTTTCTAATGGAATGACAGAATTTTTTCCCAATTGTAATGACACCAAAAAAATTAAATTTGATGGAAAACTGATGGAATTACGCTCTCGCAAAGTTAGCGACCTCGGCGATATTTACAAATCGGTGATTTTGGCCACTTTGAGCCCTATTTTCGGCTAATTCCATAGTTCCAATCGACCAAACTCATAGCTATTTCTTTAGAACTCCATTTTTTCTATCAATTGAGTACAAGAAACTGCCCATTTACAGATTTCAACTACCCAGTAACGTGGTCAGAAATTTGCAATTTGGCCAATTTCACGAAAATTAAAAAATACGACAATTTCAAAATAAGTTCCAGAATGAATAATGCAGACATTCCTGGCTCTAAAATAACATTTTCTTTGTTCATCAGTCACGTCTGCAGGCCCCACTGATATTACTCTTGCTTTCTATTTTGATTTTTTATTCATACAAAAAATACAAAATTTACTGTTATGCAGACTACTGCAATATTGTAAAAATGGTATAAATAATATCAGTGCACTAGTGAAAATTATTAGAATCTCCAGTTGACATGTATTGGACGTGTGGTGTGATTTGCTTACTCTTGAACATTGACACTAAAATAACATATCCTCTGTTCATTAGTCATGTCTCTAGGCCCCTCTTATATTACTATTGCTTTCTATTTTGAATTTTTATTCAAACAAAAAATAGAAGATTTACTGTTATGCAGACTACTGCATTATTGTAATAATTGTACAAATAATGTCAACCCATTCATGACTGCATATTAGAATGGCTAGTTTGACATTTATTGGACAATGACATCATTTGTTTACTTTTGAACACTGGCAAAAATCAAACATTTCCCCTACTTTGAGCTCCATTTTTGGGTTCTTTTTATAGTAACACCAATCAAAATTACCTCTATTTCTATATGTTTTCCATTCTATCAAATGAGACCAAGAAAACGAGAATACAACCATAAATACTATACGAAAATAGACCACAAAGTCAGCATTTTAATTAAAAAAAAAACAGTAGGAGTTTTTTTTCTAATTATGCACTGCATGCGCCAGGATTTTTTTTATATGGTGCACACTGACCACACAGACCCATTCCCTCACATGTGGGCCTACCAGCTTTCTCCTGCTTGATTTGAAGCCGCTAGAATTTATGAGTACAGTAGGGCCCCACTTATACGGCAGGTTAGGTTCCAGGCTACCGCCGTAAAGCAGAAATCGCTGTAAAGTGGAACACCCTTTTTTTCCACTTATAAATGCATACAAATACTAGATAACAAGTTTACACTAACATATATTAAGTTAGCAATAGAACTAGGCATCAAAAAACAATAAAAAAGTACAATACACACATAGTGCACTCATTACTTACCTTAAAATATTTATAGTCTTAATCTAGGGTGAGATGAGTAGTATTTATTGTAAGAAATCAAGTGTGGTATGTATGGTAGTCAGCCAGACTACCATACCAGGCCACCCCACCTACACATAATATTATATTACATTTAAGCATCCCAGAGCAATAAAATGCATATACAGTTTACTCATTACTTACCTTAAAATATTTGTAGTCTTAATCTAGGGTGAGATGAGTAGTATTTATTGTAAGAAATCAAGTGTGGTATGTATGGTAGTCAGCCAGACTACCATACCAGGCCACCCCACCTACACATAATATTATATTACATTTAAGCATCCCAGAGCAATAAAATGCATATACAGTTCACTCATTACTTACCTTAAAATATTTGTAGTCTTAATGTAGGGTCAGGAGTACGTAAATGAGATAAAACGAATAAATGAGAGAGAGAAAGAATGAGTGCATGAGAGAGGACAGGCGCCGAGTTATGTAAACAAACCAGGCGAACGTAAGTTTAGTAAACAAAGTGTACATGTCTGGTTTGGGTACAAGTTACATTGTGTACAGGTTGTTTCTACATTGATACGATAGAATAAATAAAGAAGAACACTCCCATTCTCATGTAACATCATTTTGAGAAGAAATGACGCTCTGAGTGAAGGCAATGGTAATAAGTCACTCTGACTTTTTTGGGTTATCCTAGGTTCTCTACACATGCTGTTATGTATGATAATCTTATGTAACCATATTTGTGTATACCTGAATAAACTTACACACATATGAAAGGAATAATTTTCTACAGTTACCCCCGTTAACACATTTTCTCTTATGTTAGATTAGAGAAAATGTTATTCTTGGCATCACTTGTACAAGTTATCTGGCTACCACATCTCATATTTATGTTTATTTATTCTATTGTGGGGTGTATTTATCATCTTTATATGTTATGTATCATGTTTATATAATTTTGAAAAAATATTATGGATGGATTAATGAAAATGTGTATATTAACGTAATATACGACATTTAATGAGACTCGGTGATTATTATTATTTCTAATATGGCGTCACTTGTGCAAGTCTTCTGCTACCACATCTCATATTTATGTTTATTTATTCTACTGTGGGGTGTATTTATCATATTTATATGTTATGAATCGTGTTTATTATATAATTTTTAATTATTATTATTATAATCAAAAAGAAGCGCTAAGCCACAAGGGCTATACAGCGCTGCAGGGTAGGGAAGGAAGCGAGGGTATTGGATGGCAGAAGGGAGGAGCGATGATCAGCAGGTTACAGAAAACAGCGGGGCAGGGGATAGTACGGGGGTAGAGGGTAGCAAGAGATTGAAGTAGAAAGGGCTGAAGGTATCAGAATTTGTGAAGCAAGTCAGTTGTCAAAAAGTCAATGAGAGAGTCCGGATGAAAGGTGGGTCCATCAGCGAGAAGGGAAGGTAAAGAGAGAGCAGAGGAGCGAAGACGACGACAGAGGTAAATTCTGCGTGCTCGTTGATAAAGTGGGCAGTCCAACAGAATGTGGCTGACTGATAATGGAGCTTGGCAATTCTCACAAGAGAGGAGCAGGACGCCTCTCCATGAGATATCCATGAGTAAGACGAGTATGGCCAATGCGAAGACGGGAGAGAGTAGTCTCCCAACCTCGACACTGGTGATAAGAAGACGGCCAGTAACCTATACTCGGTTTAATAGATTGAAGTTTGTTGCCGAGCATAGTAGACCAACGTTGTTGCCAACGGGTGTGAAGGTGGGAAGATATTGCAGCAAAATAGTCCGTAAATGGAATACCTCTATAAGAAACTGGTAGGTCATGTACTGCTGACCGCGCAGCGTGTCTGCCTGTTCATTGCCCTGTACGTTCAACATGACCAGGGACCCAACAAAAAACAATATCTTTATGCTTGGTAAAGATGCGGCGTAGCCAAAGTTGGATACGGAGGACTAAGGGGTGAGGTGTATCAAATTTTTGTATAGCCTGTAAAGCACTAAGGGAGTCTGAGACAACCACAAATGATGACACAGGCAAAAGATGCAATACGGGTAAGTGCTGTAAGGATGGCATACAATTCAGCAGTAAAAATACTAGCCGAAGATAGTAAATGCCCTTGTATGACGCAGTCCGGAAACACTGCTGCGAATCCTACGCCGTCAGAAGACTTAGATCCATCTGTGTACACAGCAATGGCATGAGAATGAGAGTGAAAGTGGTCAAGAAAAAGAGAGCGGGAAGCGACCGTAGACAGTTGGGCTTTCGAGCAAGGGAGGGAGAAAGAACAGACTCGAACAGCTGGAACTTCCCAGGGGGGTAGGGAAAAGTGAGATGCTACACGTACATAGAAAGGGGGTAGTTGAAGAGAAGATAAGAGCGAATGAAGGCGAAGAGAGAAGGGACGGAGTAAACAGGGGCGGCGAACAAATAAAGAATGTCTACTAATATCAGTGACCATTCTATAAATGGAAGGAGTGCGGAGATCATGAGAGCATACATAGTAGCGCAGGCAATGGGCATCACAGCGATCGGATAAGGACGGAACGTTCGCTTCTGCATAGAGGCTCTCGACAGGGGAAGAGCGAAAAGCACCAAGGCATAAACGTAATCCTTGGTGATGAATGGGGTTAAGGCTAGAGAGAGTAGCAGGAGATGCCACTGAATAGATCTGGTCACCATAATCAAGTTTCGATAAAATAAGGGTGGAATGTAGGCGAAGGAGGGTTCGACGATCAGCTCCCCATGAAAGATGAGTAAGGGTTTTAAGAAGGTTCAGCTGGCTGTGACAAGCTGCCTTCAGAGAGGTAATGTGAGGTTTCCAGGATAACCTACGATCAAAGAGGAGGCCCAGAAACTTGACTGTATCACGTTCAGGGATACGGGAGCCATAGAGGTACAAAGGATGATTGTAGATGACAGAGCGTCTAGTGAAAGTAATTTGGTGGGTTTTAGTGCTGGAAAATTTAAACCCACGTGTGGTGGCCCAATTGGAAACACGGTCGACTGCATGTTGGAGAGAAACTGTAATGAGGTGACAGTCAGCTCCTGCACAGGCAATAGCGAAGTCATCAACATAGAGTGATGACCAAATATTTGATGGAATACTAGAGGCCAAATCATTAATAGCAAGGAAAAAATTTGTCTCAGAACACACCCCTGGGGGACATTTCAGCTTGGATAAAGTCCGGGAGGGGAAAAACATTAATTAACCCGAACACGGAAAGCCTGTCATTTAAATTTAAAATTTTGAAAAAAATCATAATGGATTAAATAAAAATGTGTATTTTAACGTAATGTACGCTTTTAAAATAGCCCTTGATTTTTTCTTACTAATAGGACTTGGAGACATAAGCATCCTATGTTTAAGTGTACCTCATCCCAGCACAGTAAGTAATTTTAATTTAGGTACGGGTATCACAAGTAAATTACCGAAAAAAATTTAAAATGAAATATTTTTTAAAAACACTTAAAATTTTTGTTGTTTCCAGACATAAGGGAGAGACTTATGCACGGATCTCA